GGTCTGGCAGCATCTATGGCGAGAAATCAGAGTCAATGTTTTGGGTCCAGTGACCTTTCTTCAGAACCCTTTGGGTTCTTCCAGGAACCTCTTCAGGTCAGTGGACTCGAAATGTTAACTCTGATTTGTTGCCACAGATACTGCCAGAATTGCTGAGCTTTTCCAGCAATTTCTGTTATAGTTTCTCATTTCCAGCATTCGCAGTTCTTTCGGTTTTTATTGAGGTTTAGAGAGATATGGGCCAAACACAGGCAAATGGGACTAGTTTAGTTTAAGAAACCTGGTTGGCATGGAGGAGTTGGGCCAAACGGTCTGTCTCCGTGCTGTATGACTCTATGATTCCATGACAAAGTTATCAATTGCCTTGAAGCAATTCTGTTCCATCAAAATGCCACAAGTACACTGATCCCTGCAACATCTTTTTGATATAATGCTTGTGTGTAATGGACTTTGCTGAATTAAGAGACTTTGAATGCTTTTTGTTTTGTTCTTATTGATTGAATTGAGCTGAGCTGAAGAATTTATTTGTTTTGAAGTTGAATGAGTTTGACTGGTACCTCATTTAAATTAATTGTTCATCATGTTAGGTCACGTTGGAAATGTGAAGGAAGAAGTAGTTGATTTTGTTACCATTTGTCATCAAAACATCTCAAAACACTTAAATTAATTACTTGTGGCTTACAGTGACAGTGGAGGAACTGTAGTTACTGCTTTATTGATGTGAGAATTGAGAAATATAAATTGCATAATTACATCAGTCTGTTAACAAAAGAGAAAACTAAATACAGGCACGGTCCTATGAAGTCACTGAATTCCATCTTACCATGTCCTAATCGCAAGCTAAATATTCGGCAACATGTATCTTTAAATAAGTATAGTGGACTTGTGCTATTATCACTGGACTGTTAATCCAGAGACCCCGGTAGCGTTTTAGGGACCCGGATTCAAATCCTGCCATGGCAGATGGTGGAATTTGAATTCAATAAAAATCTGGAATTGAAAAGTCTAATGACGTCTGTGAAGCTATTGCTGATTGTCAGAAAAACCCATCTGGTTCACTAATGTCCTTTGGGGAAGGAAACTGCCATCCTTACCTGGTCTGGCCTACATGTGACTCTAAACCCACAGCAATGTGGTTGCCTCTTAACTGCCCTCTGGGAAATTAGAAATGGGCAATAACTACTGGCCTAGCATGTGAATGAGTTAGGTGTTATAATATTATGGTACCAAAGAACCAATTTAAAACTTTTGCAATTTGAAGTTTTGGTTTGAACATGTTCAATATTGAACCAAAGCCAAATTTACTTGAAAATCTCCAATTGATGTTGGAGATTAATTAAAAGTGCTAAGCCATTTCCCAATGCCATGGAATTGCTAAATAAAATCTAGAGATTTCAGTATTATGTTACTGCAATGTGTTGTTAGAACAGTGTCTAGTAGCAGAAAAAAGTGTTTAAAAAAAATACAGGGAACTTGCATGCCGCAATCAAAAATCATTCTAAATTCCCATCTCTCTTGTGATACCACAGTTCATTCCTCCCTATAACGGTCATTACAAAATACTTACTGTCCAGGAAAACCCATCCCTGTACTGAAGAAATTAATTACATTATAATGTGATTTTTGGCCTCAGAATGTACCAAACCCAAATAAATTACTTTCGAAGTTCAGTTGCTATTGTATGGGCAAATCTGTGGCTAACAAGCACTGGTATAAGAACAGGAATAAGCAGTTCAGCCCTTTGAGACATTCTGCCCTTCACTGAGATCATGGCTGATCTGTACAATACTGCACTCTGCTCAAGTATTGACTTTGATCACATGGTCAAGACTTCAAGTTGGACATCAACTCTCAGACTGTGACTCAGGTAAAAATGCTATTGACTGAGCCAAACTATCACTTGCCAGCTTTTCCAGTAAATCTAAGTATTGAACTTCGACTTCTTTGTTATTATCTGCTTACCTTTTCAGATTCTTCCTTCTCAAATACTGTTCTTTCTAAATAATTTTATAACCTTTGCCTCACTAACCACCTTTCAGGCTTTGACAAATTCTTTGTGTGAAGATATCTGCCCACCTTTCATTATTTTAGTGACTGTTGCATCTGGAAGTGCCACATAAGCAAAATACATGAAAGATTTGGCATAAGTATTTATAAACAACATTAGAGCATACCTGAGCTGTAGGAACATATCAGTGAACAAGTTGTAAATATTACAAAAACTACAAACATTCTGGGGCGGCACGGTGGCTCAGTGGTTCGCATTGCTGCCTCACAGCGCCAGGAATCCCAGTTCGAATCCACCCTTGGGCGACTGTCTGTGTGGAGTTTGCACATTCTCCCTGTGCCTGCGTGGGTTTCCTCCGGGTGCTCCAGTTTCCTCCCACACTCCAAAGATGTGCATGCTAGGTGGATTGGCCATTCTAAATTGCCCATAGTGTTCAGGGATGTGTAGATGAGGTGGGTTATAGGGGAATGGTTCTGGGTGGGATGCTCTGAGGGTCGGTGTGGACTTGTTGGGCCGAAGGACCTGTTTCCACACTGTAGGGATTCTGTGATTCTATGATTGAAACCCAGAATTGGAAGCCAGCAATCAGTTCTCTTAAAGAACTTTCATCTATTTGTCACGCAGTTAAACGTCCCAAATAATTTTAGCTTTCTGAGGCAATATCAACCAAAATTTGGCACTGAACCACATAAGGAAGCAATAGGACAGATTACCATAGCTTGGTCAAAGAAGGAGATTTTAAGGAACAGCTTAGGGGAAGAGACAGAGGGAGACTGAGCTGTTTAGGAAGTCAGTGTCAGAGTAGGTCCTCAGCAGCTAAAGATACTGCCAGCAACAGTAAAACAATGAAAATTGAGAATGGTTAGGCAGCTAACTTTGTAGGTGTGCAGAAATCTCACAGGACTGTAGGGTTAGAGGAGCTTACAAACATACAAAGAGGCAAAACTAATGAAGGATTTTAAGTTACAATGAGAGAAAGATCAATAAATCATTAAAATAATTTTCAAAGGTCTTTTCAAGTATAATATTGGGTGGTGGGAATCTGGAACTCATTGCCTGTAGGGGTGGTAGAGGCAGAAACCCTCAAAACATTAAAGAAGTGTTTAGATGTGCACTTGCCGTGCCAAGACGAACAAAACTATGGGCCAAGTGCTGGAAAATGGGATTTGAATAGTTAGGTGGTTACTTTTGACTGATACAGACACAATGGGCCAAAAGACCTTTTTCTGTGCTGTAGATTTCTACGACTCTAGAATGTTACCTACGTCTTCAGCTAATGTTACGGACAGAAAATATTTTATCATAACAACTTAGTTTTTACCTGTCTTACCTAAACCAACTTGTTCTCTAATTTTTAAAATGTCTGTAAGGTTAAATACAGCTTGTTGTTTTAATGTTAAGTTGTTGAGAATTAAACCAGAGTGATAGCCATGGTAATTTAAAGCTACCCAGAGATGGAGGCACAGCTGAGACATGCTGAACACTAGTGCTGTTTACTTATGCAAATTTCTGAACCTTTGAAGCAATAGCTCAACCCTAGGATGTCAGTCATTTGGAATGATCAGCATGGCTGGCCACCTAGGAAACTTGTTAAGAAAAGGATTGCTTTTTCTCATTAATGATCACCAACTGTTCTGCCTCAATTAAACTGTTGAAAAGATGTCAAACAAGGAGGCAATGGCCTAGTGGTATTATCACTGGATTGTTAATCCAGAGACCCGGGTAATGTTCTGGGGACCTGGGTTTGAATCCCACCACGGCAGATGATGGAACTTGAATTCACTAAATATCTAGAATTAAGAGACTAATGATGACCATGAATCCATTGCCAATTGTCGGGAAAAACCCATCACTAATGCCCGTTATGGAAGGAAACTGCCACTCTCACCTGGTCTGGCCTACATGTGACTCCAGACACACAGCAATGTGGTTGACTCATAACTGCCCTCTGGGCAATTAGAGATGGGCAATAAATGCTGCCTAGCCAGCGATGCCCTCATCCCATGAATGAATAAAGGAAATAAAAACTACAGCCTTGGTTATAGCTCAGCAAGTAACCACATGGACTTGAGGTAAAGGTCATAGAACTTCATCACTTTCTCTTTTTTTTTCTCACCCTTTCTATCTCACCCTTTTTATCTGTCATACACAGAATGAGCCCCAGTATCGTGAAACTAAAACATTTAACTGGTTTGAGAGTGAGCTAATATCTACATTTAAGTCAAATTTTATGTCTTATTTCTTTCCCATTATCCAAGGCATACAGAGGATTATCTGACCACGCACTGAAAATTATATGCTGTTTGTTCATGTTTTTAATGTAGATTGACTCAACTGGTTTGAAATCATGCTTCGTCTTGAGGGAGTGGTTTTCAATCCAATTTCTATAAAGAAGGCAGAATATTCATAAGCGATATTGCATTAGCCACAGCAACTTAGTGAGTTACTGTCCCAATTCATTTGACCATTGCATTTTGGATGGTAACTTCTGAACATAAGGCTATAGCACACTGACCCTGAAGAAATGTTTCACTGAAAGAAAACATTTAAAAATGGGACAAAACAAACACACAAACAGTCAGAGAAAAAAATCGAAAAAAGATTTGGAACTCATAAAATTATCCAATTCTTCATGGGAATGTGTTTAATGCGGTTATCTTAACTGAGGCCTAATATTTTTAGGGCCCCACATTTAGCTTTGGGTCTTCTCATTAACCTTTCAGTTCCTAGGGTGGCAGCTAGTCCTTCTCACTACCATCCGGTAGCGAAACTCACCTCCTCAGTATTACCCTCAACATACTGTGAGAATATTCTCACAGTAAATTCATTAGGTTGTAAAAGAAAGCATTTGTAAAAAAAAAACAAACTGATCAGTTTATTCAGTGAGAGTTTTTATTTTGTTATGGGTGAAAACATTTTGGTGATAACTACTGTACATTTTCTAAAAGTAACTAATATTAGTTTTTGATATGCATCAATGTCTTGCCCACAGCTGAGAGTGGACAGAGTAGTGGACAGTTCCAGGGAAGATCATCTGAAGGCTCAGCTGTATGGTCTCAGTGGCAAGGCCAACATCACAATCAACAGGCAAGTGAGCAGCATACACACCAACAGCCAGGACAACCAGAGGTTTTTCAGGTAAGAGATAGTAGGAACTGCAGATGCTGGAGAATCCGAGACAACAAGGTGCAGGGCTGGATGAACACAGCAGGCCAAGCAGCATCATAGGAGCAGAAAGGCTGACGTTTTGGGCCTAGACCCTTCATCACCGAAACGTCAG